CAATTTCTAAGCCTCATCCAAAAAACTTGATATTTTTCTGACATTGACCTAATATTGTATAATTATTCTTTAACAATCACATCGGAGTATGTTTAATTTCCAATTTCATTTTAGCCTACAATATAAAAAATAAGAAAATTTGGTATGATTTCTAATGAGACAACTCTTCACCAGAGACCACTTGACAGGCTACATAAATTTTAAGTCAATGGTATAAAAACATTTAACCTTTCTGCTATTTACACAAATATTACACATTTTAAACTTTAGGACAGATTAATGAATGACGTAGATACGAAAGCTCTAGTTTTATGAAGAGGCAAATCGTCCCTTGCATAAAACACTCTTAATAAAGCAAAATTTAACAAGGAAGCTATCACTTACATTTCGAAAATATTTAATCTTAGACAAATTATTGTACTGACTTTAAATTAAAATAAAAGATGTAAATCGGTAAGGGTCATACTTGGCACCGAATATTAAGTCCATAGTTGGAAGATAGCATCTTGTGTGTAGCTTTTCTTATAAAGCCTTAATATTTACAAGCCAAATAAAACAAAAATCTTGATGAAATTTGATGAAATTGTCCGAATTTCATTGACTATAGATGTTCTACTGTGGCTCCCGGCGTAAACGCTCTTTTGTTTTGACCCGTTAATCGCTCGAAAAGTTATTTTTGTTCGTTCTAATATAGTCGATTCACCAGTTTCCCACTGTTTGATGTTCTCTCATTTCATTTACAAGTTTTAAGACGATTTCGAGTTTGACATATTGTAAATCAGGCTTAAATTAAGAATGGAAACAGGGAATGTGTCAAAGAGACAACAGCCCGACCAAAGAACAGAAAGCAGCCTAAGGCCACCAATGGGTCTTCAACACAGCGAGAAAATCCCGCACCCGGAGGCGGGCTTCAGCTGGACTCTTAACAAAATGTGTACAAGTTCAATGAAAATGGACGTCACACTAAATTCCAAAACATATAAATGAACTAAAATATAAAAAACATACAAGACTAACAAAGGCCAGAGGCTCCTGACTTGGGAAATCTGTTGGTTGTTCGTATCGTTAGGTTACTGTCTCGTTGTTAGTAATCTCCAAGCTTTAGTATATTGTCCTAGTACAAACCAGACGGCAGATTCATATCAAATAAACATGATATCGTCCTGAGTAATCATGAAATACTTGACACTGGAAACCAATCTTTTAAATGTTTAACCTTTGCAATCATCTTTGCAATAACGAGCTTGCTGTGCATGAGCTTGATGTACATTGTACACGTATCTAAATACTAGTTAATCAAAAGAGATTTAAAACGAAAATATTATAAAATAAGAAATATCAAACAATATAAGAAAATAGCCAAGCCTGTTGATAATTAATGGCATCCGAAAAAAAGGTATTTTTAAACGAGTGTGATGACTGAATAATTGTGTGCTTAACACAGTTTTACAATTGACATTATAATTTGACAGAGTCACTGTTTGTATAGCATATATACCTTGAAATAAAGTAAATTTAGTTTTCATGATATTGGCATTAGTAAGTATTACATGTATTCCGTTCATGTAAATTAGCTCTTCTATAAGGCAATCCAACGAAAAATCTCTTGTTCAAATTGGATAAAAAATATCTCTTGTTTTTTCTTGTATTTACCATTTCTGATCACATTTGTTCCTTAAAGCTCGACATACGTTCGAATCTAAGTGTAGTTTACATGCAGATAAAAGTCACGAATATGTGGCAAACAAGTACTTAGTACTATTGAACAAATAACGCAAAATGATTAAACGGACTGATGAAAAGAGCATTTAATAAACGGCCAACAATAGTTCGTTCTCACTTTCCAACAGACACATACATAGATATAGGAAGATGTGGTATGAGTGCCAATGAGACAACTCTCCATCCAAGTAACAATTTATAAAAGTAAACCAGTATAGGTCAAGGTACGGCCTTCAACACGGAGCATTGGCTTACACCGAACAGCAAGCTATAAAGGGCCCCAAAAATTACTAGTGTAAAACCAGAAACGGGAAAACCAACGGTCTAATCTATATAAAAACGTGAAACGAGAAACACGTATGAACTACATAAACAGACGACAACTACCGTACATCAGATTCCTGACTTATGACAGGTGCAAACATTTGCAGCGGGATTAAACGTTTTAATGGTACAAAACCTTCTCCCTTTTCTGAAACAATAGTTTAACATCACAACATAGAAAGACACACTATAAAATATCAATTGGAAGGCTTAACTCAATCAAAAAACGTAAATTAACACACAATGAACGAATAAATTTGATCTGTGATACCTGAATGCAAATACATAGTTAATAAAAATTATAAGGGATAAATAATTAAGGTCAAAAGTAAATAAACAGGTTAAAACAAAGTTAAAGTATGATACCACTGTGAAATGTTAAACAATTTTTAGAAAATCATCACTTTTGAAAAAACATGCGTCATATTATACACAGGTAAATGAAAATAATTTTGTTGTTAAGTATACTTCTTCTGTGTGTATAAAATCTTCCAGTTAGGAATACCAAGAAATTTCTTTAATATCAATAAAACAAATCTAACACTTGGTACATATGGGGTGAATATCAACAATAAAACTATACAATTAGTGCTAGATACAACTTCCTGTACAGGTGCAAGAACAGTATTTAAGGAGAAATGAAATAATTTTGATGTTCATAGTACGAAGAAGTGAAAATTTGTAGTAATTCCAAATAATCAAAGCTGGTATATAGACAAGATCCATGTTAACATTAAATATAAAAAAGCATTACAAATAGTATCAACAGGTCAAATTAACAAGAAAGTACGATATGAGAGTACTCGCAGTTACTGACAGCTAGTTAAAAGCCAAAACAATTAATAATAAAAAATCATGCATCAGAGACTGAAATCAAGAAAAACAAATCCCAGGGATTTAGTATTTTAACGTCATGAACAGTCAAAGAAGACATGACTTGTGCAATGTCAAAAATAAATGTATCGACTGGTAGTAGGATAGTTAGGAGTGTAGGAGTGACTTCTTTATAGATAAAAATGAACGTGTGTGTGTCTCTATACATCCCGTTTGAAAAGAAAATACAGTTAAAAAATAGTTATGTTTTAATTTGCTAATGACAAAATCGACATTAGTGCCAATGTAAACTATATTCAGAGACCTAATTACAACATTGGTACGATAACCCTCACTAATAAGTTTGTTTAAAGGTTCGATGAGTTTACACGGATCACATAGTGATTTCCGCGCTTTAAGTACAATATTACCGTAAAATTTAGGATGTGAAATACCATTTTTTAATAAGTTTTCTACAGGTACAGCCAAATTTACTAATCAAATTTTTGTACCTATGAAAGAATTTAGTAAAAGTTTTAAGTAATTTATGGTAACGAAATCCCTGACATAATAATTTACCAGTGATGCATTGATTACGTTCTTTAAAATCTATGACATCACTACACACACGGGCATACCGAACGAGTTGGGATATATAAACACCGTATGATGGAGCCAAAGGCACAGCGCCGTCTAAAAAAGGAAAATTAACAATAGGGTATGAAAAATCGTCTCTTTTGTCATAAATTTAAGTATGGAGTTTCCCTTTAGAAATTGAAATGTCTAAATCTAGAAAAGGACAACTGCGGCTGTTTATGTTACATTTAGTTAAAGTAAGTTCTTTTGGGTAAATTTCGAGAGTATATTTAGAGAACTCTGGATTATTTAACGAAAAAATATCATCCAGATAACGGTAGGTATTGTTGAATGTATCAACCAAATGTAACAATGATGTGTCTTTACTGAGTTTGGTCATAAACTGAGATTCATAGCAATACAGGAATAAATCTGCTATTACAGGGGCGCAGTTAGTGCCCATAGGAATACCTACTACCTGACGATACAGTTTATCGCCGAAACGTACATATATGTTATCTAGGAGAAAATTTAAAGCTTCAATCATATCCTCACATTTCCAGTAAGTGTATCTAGCATACTTTCCTTTTATCCTGCAATCAGCCAACTTTGAACAAACAACAAGTGTACACACACATTTTGGCTCTATTTTTAGTTATATAAAAAAGTATCCTGATACCCTGCTTTCGTCTTGAGCTAACGAGGTATTTCTGTTTACGAACGTATACAGTTCATATAGGGGTCTTCTTCGCGGTCCACGTTTCTTGCCATTTTGATTTCTATTTAAACTAAATGTTAAAGTGTGGATGTAAATTGCAGGATAATACCAATCATATGTAAATTGTCAGAAATATAAAATGCGTTTGTACTCGTTAATTAAGAAATAGGAGAAAACCTCTGCGAGCGTCGCTTTTCGTCCAGTTTCTAAAGCTCGTGCCTATAAATTTTAGATTTTTCGACAAGGTAAAACTGAGAATGGAAATGGGGAATGGAAATGGTACATATATTGTATATAAACTTTGTAATCAAATAATTTAAATAACCGCTACATACCTTCTGCAAAATACATGGTGAACCAAACAGATAGGAATACTTGTTTACCAATATAAAACATCTAAAATTAAAAAAGAAAAAACTGTGCATAAAGTACATTGTTAATTATCATTGTTAATAGAAATGTTATGTAACATGTGTAAGAATAAATATCATTTTAAGTTCCAGCTAAAAAAAATGTAATTTCCAATTATTGGTGACAAAATGCGAAAGTCAACTCTTCAAAAGATAAAATATTTGACAGTTTAAAATTTTGAAAAAAAAAGCAAAACTAATACTAGTAATGTAAAAATATGACCTACCATGCAAAGAGTCAACGATCTAGGACCTCCTTAGTACATATCAGATAATCGCTATAATCACTATATTGCACATGCTATATTCACATGAATCAGTCTGTGGAAATTTTCAGTTTTAGTTTCGGTTTCGGTTTTCCGTATATAACTATTGATTCGGTATTTTCAGCCAACAAATTGTTGATTACACGTCATTACAAATAACTTAGTCGTCAAAATAGTTTGAATTAAACACAAACATGAAGGTATTACAAATCTCACTTATTTTGTGGGTTACACCTTTATTATCTTCATGTTCCACAGATGACAGCTGTAGTTCTAAGTCAGGTAAGACATTCAAATATTTAATTTTTGATCAGAAAACAAATATTATGTTTAATTTTGATACTTTTTTAAATCATTCTGTCCATATGATCTAAGGTCAATTGACGAAATGCATTAGAGAATATTGATGTGCATGATCCACGAGAACAGCACACAAAGGGTTAACTTGGGAATCTTTAGGCTTTTCTCGTCCGGCAGTAAAACCTTTGCTAAACAGGGATGCTTTGTATCTATGCAGGATGGTCCGGTCGGAATTGGGCCGTTAATATTGAAACAAATTTGTGGTATGATTGCCAATGAGACCACTCTCCACCAGAGACCAAATGACGTAAAAGTTAACAACTATAGGTCACCGTACGGCCATCAACACTGAGCAAAACCGATACCACATAGAAAGATATAAGAAGCCTCGAAATTACAAATTCAAACGAGAAAACTAACGGCCTGATTAATGTACAAAACAATAAACGAAATATAAATAATACATACATCAATAGACGACGTTAAACCCACCCGAATTTAGTCGAAGATGTCCAATTGACCATAAGTCTATACACCCAGTCATCCTTTGGTATTCTCTTTCTCATTTAAACTGCATACGGTCTATATAATGAAGTTAGTAGCAATGCCAATGCAAGCATCAAAGAATTTTTTTTTTAAACTTAACATTAAATGTAATGGTGTAAAATCTAAAAAAAAATTTGTTTCCTTCATTTAGATTAAAATATTGTTTTCGTCAAAGTTGGGTATCAGAATATTCTTTTAGCCAACAAAAAAAAACATAATCCCCTCCACCCTCAGAGGTAAATGATCGTTGGCATTTTGCTTTCTTTTTATTTACATCTAATCGATTCGATTCGATTTAGGGGGCGGCAGCCTGGGCTCCTTTATGGAACTACATTTATGGTTAATACAGACTTTTTACTGTTCCACTCCAAATGTTGACAAGTTTGAGCCATCAGCACCTAACCCACTACCCCCCCCCCCCAACCCCCACCCCACCTCCCCCCCCCCCCCCCATATGTGAATATGTTATGGGACACAAACAAATGTTTCGGCTTGAACATTTGTATGTAAATATATGCATGTACAAACGTAAGAAGAGTTGTGGCGACCTTTTTTCTCTGAGTTATACATACTTTCTGCACACACAAAAACCTGTAGATTAAGGTAAACTTTGGAAAATGAATATTCTTGCTTAATAAGAACTGAGAAAGATAACATCGCCCAGGTAGGATATTCTGCTAAGCAAAATGCAGGAAATTATCGTGTTTAAAAGTGAATATAAAATTAATTTGTCTAGCTGCAAAGCCGCACAAAAAAAAACATACAAATAATACATTTACGTCGATCTGTATTTCACTTGCGCCGATTGTGTCTTTCATTTGCGCTGATTGTGTACAGAGAAAGGTGAATGTTATTTTTTATTTATCATTGCGTTAGTCAAATGTACATATGTTATGATTTGTCACGGCCTGGGTTTTTCTTGATGACATCCATAAAGACATTTATGTTGGGTGGTACGAATCGAACATTTCATTGTAATGCGAATGAAACGATTCTAGACCGTTTTTCGTCCTCTTACAGTTTTAAACGTGTGCATCTGCCCAGAAATGAGGTGGATAACGTAAAGTTGATCATATACAAGTGGGAAGGAATGGTAGCCCGAAAAATTCCGATAGCCATTTACCAGGGTCACTTGATTTGTCTTTATACTCTGTACTTAGCCCAACAGACTGGATTTTCCTCAACCAGATCTGAGCCAGATGAAAACGACAACAATCTATTTGCAGGGGACAACAGTTATATACATGTTATAATTGACAATTCATAACATATGAACAATTGGTTAACGGGAAAGGTTTTTAATGATAAATAAAAAAATAACATTCTTCAGTAATTTACCTGTACACAATTGGCGCAAATGAAAGAATCAAATCGGCGCAAATGAAAGGTCGAAAACTCTTTAAATCGGCGCAATTGTCATACGCCCGTTGCAGTAACAGTTGAAATATTGTTTAATTAATAACAGACTTGCGTTGACCTTCACTCTAAGAAAAAATAAAAGGGCAATGTGGACTGCAGACAATTTAGTTTAATGCCACACTATTTCTCTTTCATAATTTAATTCAAACAATTCCATTTTTTATAGGAACGGTTGCAGATAGTGAAATTCGTCACTGTACACAAAAGGAGAGTGAAGATATAGGTATGCATTGGACACACACACACAAGTTAAATTTCATTCAAATTTCAAATAAATTACGTGAAAACAAAAACTATTTGAATAGAGGAACTTGATCAGGTTCGCTCGAGACAAAAGCAAAAAATTATAACATTGCAGAGTACAGAAACAAAAAAGAACCTTAACATAGCGGTAAAAAAAACGTCTAAGGCAAATTTTAGCGTTAGAGACTACAAACCCAAAATGTACATACGGGTATGACTATTTTCTAAATGTATTAAACTGGAAGTATAAAAACTAAAAGCATAAAACCAATGAGGGCTCTAACAGAAACGGCATAAAAGTTAAGGTTAGTTGTACCTTTTTCCAATTGTATGTACTAATAATAAATTGCAAATATATCTTTTGTTTTTAAAAATTTACGGTTTTATTGTTCTAATCATATTACTTTAAACCAGGTAGCTAGTTTCTTTTTGGAATTGTTTTTTGATTACAATGCCGGGATATCTTAAAGCTTTAAGTAACTACAATATTCAGTATAGGATTTGCTCATTGTTGAAGGCTATATAATGACCTGCAGTTGTATATTTGGCAATCATACCACATCTCCTTATTTTTATACAGTTCTACTAATACCCTGATTCCCCAATTGCCTAATGTGTAAATTATTTCTAAGTTGAAATTATGGCGAAAATATATCTTGCAGGTACATAAGTCAATGCTAAAGTGCTGCATGCTTTCTATATCATAAAACGTAAACAGACGTTCAATACTTCACGAATTTCTTCTTGATAATAATTTTGATAATATTCTTCGTATGTAGGTATAACCGAAAATGAACGCAGAATATTGCTAATAGGCCGGACTGGAGTCGGCGAAAGTACTACTGGAAACACAATACTGGGGAAGGACGTTTTTGTGGCAGATACTTCGGGCGAGTCAGTAACGAGAAAAACGGAATATGCGCGTTCACTGAGTTACGGAAGAAATCTTTTAGTTGTTGACACTACAGGATTGTTTGATACAAGTATACCTAATAATGTAGCTATGAAAGAGATTGCACAATGTTACAGTCAAACAGCTCCGGGATTACATGCTTTCATTTTTGTCATTGAGATTGGACGAATCACCAAACAGGAAAAGGATACATTTGACTTTTTTCTCACACATCTTGGAAAAGATGTAATTGATTATATGATTGTACTATTTACTGGAAAATATAAACTGGATTTTCAAAACAAAACGAATCAACAATTTGTCGCAAACTTAAAGACGAAACCTGATCTTACATGGCTGCTTAACCGTATCAAACATCGCTATACAGTGTTTGGATATAGCGGTAATCGTGCTGAGCGTGAGGAAGAAGTAAAAGAACTTCTACAAATGATCGACGACCTTGTCAAAGAAAACGAAGGGAAATATTATACAAATGACATGTATAAAAGAACGGAAAAATTATTAAAAGAAAGATGGGAAGAGGAAAAACGAAAGGAAACAGAAAAACTTGATAAAGAAATAGAATCAACTTAGAAATCTGTTCAAAAAGAGTTTGAAGAAAAACAAAAGGAACTTGAAAAAAATGTTGAAAGTCAGAAGACTGAACATGAAAATGAAATGAAATTATTGAATTTTAAATTTAACGAACAAGAATCTGATATTGAGAAGATAAAAAACCAAAATAAACAGGACCTTGAAGAAATGCGAAGAGAAATAAAGCAAAGAGAAACGGAATTAAAAATTCGTCGTATAGAAATGGAAAGAGACATTGAAAAAAAAAGGTTGCGAGAGGAAGCTGAAAGAAAATTGAATAGTCAAGAAATGACTTTTAGAGAGGTACACAGATCTGATCCTGGCTTTTTTTAGCAGGCTCTCGGGGTAGGATGAAGGGTTTTTGGAGCTGCTGTAGACGCTGTTAAGGGGATTGTTAATTTTTTTGGAAGTTTTTTTTAAAGTATATAAAATCTTATGAAAATTCATACGTTTGTCTTAGCAATATCTTTTCTAAAAAGACACATTGTTCTTAAAAAAAACCAAGCATACCATCAACTCATTAGCCATATTTTATTCAACGGAAGATAGGAAAATGTATCCCTCTTAAGACAATTGTTGTTAAATCTGAAATACCGCATGCATAACTTGTGTGCAGAATGCAAGAAAAATTATTAAAAAGTGTTCTTATTATTCCTTTTTTTAAAAGTTGTAAGTTTACTACAATTAATTTAGACGTTTTCTTTAAAATGTCCTGTTGTTGCTTAGTCGGTAAAGTAGATTAACACAATTCATATTATACCGATATTGTTATGTACCCTTCGCAAATCGAATTAACACAATTCATATAATACCGATGTTGTTATGTACCGTACGCAAATCGAATTAACACAATTTATATAATACCGATATTGTTATGTATCCTACGCAAATCGAATTAACACAGTTCATATATTACCGATATTGTTATGTACCCTTCGCAAATCGAATTAACACTATTCATATAATACCGATTTTGTTATGAACCTACGCAAATCGAATTAACACAATTCATATAATACCGATTTTGTTATGTACCCTACGCAAGTCGAATTAAAACAATTCATATATTACCGATATTGTTATGTACCCTTCGCAAATCGAATTAACACAATTCATATAATACCGATTTTTTTATGTACCTACGCAAATCGAATGAACACAATTCATATAATACCGATTTTGTTATGTACCCTTCGCAAACCCAATTAACACAATTCATATAATACATTATTTACTTTTTTTTATTGGCTTGTAATATTTTTGGTTTCGAGCGTACCCGATGACTGTTGTTCTGTTATGGATGTACTTAATTCTTTGTCGTATTGTTTTGGTTTTGTTTTTCATATTTAATATCATTTGTAACTTACATGACCCAAAGGATCAGTGTGAGCTTTTGCAATCACTTGGCGTACGTCGTCTGTCGTCCGTTAAATTTTACAAAAATCTTCTTCTCTGAAACTACTATGCCAAATTTGTCCAAACTTGGCCATACTCATTATTGGGGTATTTAGTTTTTAAAATGTGTCCGATGACCCAGCCTGCCAACCAAATAGTCCGACATGGCTAAAAAGAGAATATAGGGGTAAAATGCATGTTTTGTCTAATATCATGATTATCTTGTAAACCACTATAGATAGGGAAATTCTGACATGGGCTAAATTGTTTACAATGATGAGATCTACCTAAAGTTTTTTTTTTTCTTCAAATACAAACTATCAAAGGACTTCCTTCTTCTTAGAGTTATTGCCCTGGATTTTTATCTTCTTTTTCATTGTTGCCAAATATCTTGAAAATTATAATAAATACATGTAGACAGAAACTGTAATAGCAAATATAATCAGCAAGACAAAATCTACAAATAGTTCAACATGACGAAATCGTCACTCGATGTTTATTGATATTATTTCCCTTAAATGACGATTTAACTATGTTTTTGCATTTTTGCCAATCTTTCTGAAAACTATTATATATAGATAGAAACTTTAACAAGCAAAACGGATCAGCAAGACTACTATATCTACGAATAGATCAGCAAAGATGAATTTGTCAGTTGTTTTATCAAAAGAGCTATTGCTTTTAAATGACGATTTTTTAAACCTTTTTGTATTTTGTGCAAAACAATAGAAGCTAGATAGAAACTGTAAACAAATAAATGATAAGCAAACAAGAGATTTATGTCATGAATTATATTCTAGTCTACAATGTTGGAGAGTGGCCATTGATTATAATACACATAGACCCATGTAAGCGGCACATGCTCTTAAAAAAAATATAGCCTCTAGTTTATTATTTTGTATTATTATTATTAATTTTTAAAAGACATTACATTACTGTAGAAAGCTGAATATTAGTTGAAGCAAATACATCGAACGATATACATTGATAAAACAAGAAAAGTTCTGTTTGGTAAGTTGTAGTGAGTTTAGTGTAGAGGATGGACAAGTCATAACGGTTAACCAAATTTACCAACAAAAGTAAATAATTTCAAATTAGTTTAAATTTTTTAAAGAGTTTTCGACGATCAAAATAAAATTAATTCCATTATTTTCGTGTGTTTTATTACAATAACTAAATCAGGGAACTAGTTAAAGAATCAGACATATAAAGTATCAAACACTTATTACGAGCTAAAAATCAAATAAATTTGACGGGCATTTTTGGTGATTAAAGTAGCCTAAATATAAAAGATATTACAAATAAACCCTGAGAAGTGTTAATGACATAATGTTTTACTTTTTGACTCGTCATATTGGAATAATTATATTCCAAACTGATGTCTGACATAACTGATGTATAATTGAAATTCAACTTATTTGATTTGGTTTGAAGGTTTGGTTTTACCTGTAAAAAAAAAAGTTTTTGTGTATTGGTCTTTGTTTCTAAAACTGTTTGCAATAGGTCAACTGTATTGGGTGTATGGAAATATTTTACGATGTACATGTCAGTCTGCCAAGTTTTATTTGACCTTGACCTCATTTTCACGGTTCATTGTTCAGTGTTCAGTTTTTCTGTTTTGGTCTATTTTTCTTAAACTATAAGCAATAGGTCAACTATATTTGGTTTCGGAATGATTGTAAGTTGTAAATGTCTGTCTGGCAGGTATCATCTAACCTTGACCTCATTTTCATGGTTCATTGGTCACTGTTAAATTTTATGGTTAAGTTTGTTTCTTAGATACTATAGGCAATAGGTCAACTATATTTAATGCATATATTGATTGTAAGGTGTATATGTCTGGTATGGTTCATCTGACCTTGACCCCGTTTTCATGGTTCATTGGTCAATGTTAAATTTTCCTTGTTAAGTTTGTTTCTTAGAAACTAAAAGCGATAGGTGAACTATATTTTGTGTATGGAATGATTGTAAGGTGAACATGTATTTGCGGTTTGGTTTAAAATTGAGAATGGAAATGGGGAATGTGTCAAAGAGACAACAACCCGACCATAGAACAGACAACAGCAGAAGGTCACCAACAGGTCTTCAATGCAGCGAGAAATTCCCGCACCCGGAGGCGTCCTTCAGCTGGCCCCTAAACAAATATATGTACTAGTTCAGTGATAATGAACGCCATACTAAACTCCAAATTGTACACAAGAAACTAAAATCAAAAATAATACAAGACTAACAAAGGCTAGAGGCTCCTGACTTGGGACAGGCGCAAAAATGCGGCGGGGTTAAACATGTTTATGAGATCTCAACCCTCCCCCTATACCTCTAGCCAATGTAGAAAAGTAAACGCATAACAATACGCACATTAAAATTCAGTTCAAGAGAAGTCCGAGTCTGATGTAGCATGTATATCTATTGTCATAAAAATTCATAATATCAAATAAAGTTAGTAGATTTGACTAACTAAGTCCTTATAATTGAATAAAGTAACATTTATTTTTAGTGGAAAATTGTTTTGGTGTTAATTAATCTCAACTTGAAAATTGTTTGATAGCCCCTCTTTGTGATCAATGTCAGATAACTCTGGTTCATTTTCCCAAAATTTTATCATCATGGGGAGATATGCCTCTAATAGTATAAGACACAATACAGATCGTATGCTAATGAAAGCCTGAACATTTTGACATTGTTTGTTATTTTTATCCGTGTCTGTTTTTTAATATTATCACACTTTCCTGTTAAGATTCGACTAAATACCCATAGCCCGATATCGTCAGGTAAATACGCTATTTGGTTTATCTGACTTTGGCGTCATTTTCTTGGATCGTGTTAACATTATGTGATACTTGTAGTAAAGCTTTATATTTAGGACTATCAACATAAAATCAGTGATCAGTGATCAGTATAGCAGGCAAGACATTTTAGCGTGTGCACTCTTGTATCTATATATATTATTTTATCATTATAAATGTTAATCCAACTAAATGGTATTGCTATATACTTATGAACATTCACGGTCCTATATTCTGTCACAAGATCGACGAAACACGTGAAATCCTTTTTGACCATAAAGGACATAAAGTAATATAGATTTAATACTGATTTCATTACACCAGATAATTGTTAAGATACATATCTTTTCCATTCATTTTTCTACTGAAATTGTTATTGCCAAGCATCTTTGTAATGGTTTCAATAAAAACACTTCAAAATGAGAATACCATGTACAAAGAGAAGCAATCAAAAATGTTTTTATCTTTCAAATTTGTGTTTTATTATATTTTCTCATTAATAATCTAATTATACAGTCACGTTTCTTTCCATAAGAATCGAATCTTGATCATAAAGGTGTTTATTCTATTTTAATGTCTTGATTGTGAATGTTGTTTTATTAACGTATACTCTATATTTTCTTTCAAGTTTAACTCCAAACATCTTTCTAGTTAAGTTTAGCAGATGATCTTGACCTGGAAATTAACAAATACTAACGGCTTAAATATAACATTTATGAAAGAGGAGAATGTTTTCTAGGAGAGGGTCGTCTTGTAAATTTGTAGTAGTGAAAGAGTGGAACGCCCATATTTACCACATTTTCATCTACGGCCAATTTACATTAAACTTCGGAAAATTAACTTGTAAACACACGTATCTAATGAAGGAGGATCTTAATGACATTCGGTTTTACAGGGCTGCAAACTAACGTATACTTGAGAAGAAATCGAGTATTGTAAATGTAAATATGTGCAATGTGCTGGAGCAAATTGACATAAAATATTTGCTAACTCACTGAGCATGCTTTTATTCAATCCATTTAGCAGATTATTTAAACGCATTAAGCTGCACTTGATTCAAAATTTGTGCCTACACATTTTCAAAATTATCTAAGACGGGGACGATCATTCTGTTAAAAGTCCATCCTGTATATCATATAGTCTCAACGCGCATGCGCGAAACAAAAAAAGAGCAGTGAAAAGCGTGAAAAATAATTTGCAAGTGTTTTGAATATTTGTGTTAAATATTCTCTTGTATCGTTTTTTAACTT